GCGCAAATTACACCTGTTCTATCCAGCTGCTCGTGCACGCGAGAGGAGATTAGCATAATTACCACCCCAAAAACACCATATAAGGCTATGTTTCCTGCCTCAGATACAAGGAAGTGTCCATTCATGAAAATGACAGCGAAAATTAAAAAGAAGAACTTTACGAGTTCAGAGATTGAAGTCCGTCTGTCAGAGATGCAGAAAAGAAAATCTGTCATTTTCAGCAGGTCAGCTGTGGGATAAAAAGAGCTGCTAAAAGTATAAACAGCTGTGTTAAATCATTTTCATTTATTCAGAAGCCATAGCGCTGCGCACCGTGCCCCCCGCGCGCTGTCTCAAGTGGTCTCAGTTGCGGTTCTGAAATAAGCCTTTTAAAATGTTTTCAAAATAAGTCTGGCACTTTGGAGAAAATCCAGGACTTGCTGGAGGGATCATGTACCCCCTCTGGTCTGGGAACGTCTCGGAGTCCCCCAGGACGAGCTGGAAAGTGTCGCTGGGGAGAGCGGGGTCTTTCTGTTGCTGCCCCCACGACCCGATCCCGGATAAGCCGGACGGACGGACAATTTATATTGTTAGTCTAAATTATTACATTTTAGATTATAACTCTAATTCAACCAGAATAACTTATTGTCAACATAATTATGGAGTGTGATTTATTTTCAACACAAAACATCTTCAAACTAACTAAATATAAAATTATTAGTGAAGAAAACCCATCTGGATAGCAGACTGACTGCTGGTAAAATATACGACAGGTCTGGACCACTCGTGAATTTTGTTCGTATCTGAAAAAATCTTAGAATACGAAAACATTGGTGAATGCCACAAATTCTCCTAAATCACTCGTATGCACAATTTAAGAACAAATCTGTGCGTATGAATGGTTCTTGCATGAGGCCCAATGTGAGATCAAACTGTGATGTTAATCCCTTGGTTTCCCAGGGGCGGGCACAAGGACCATGCAGACTCCTTACACTGAGGGGCCGGGCTCCTGTTTTTTTCCCATGCACCAGCGTCCACTGACATTGGCCACAGCTCCACATTAAACACCCTGCATTCATAAAAAAAGGAGAGAGAAAAGAAAGAAACGAGAATCCATGCAAGAAGAGCAGCGTCCTCTGGTCCAGCTGCCACTCTGACTGCTGCTCTCAGCGCCACAAACTGTTAAACAGCCAGGAGGAGAGTGGAAACAAAGAAAAAGAAAAAAAAATGGCCAAAATTGAGAGGCAAAGAAGAAGTTTGAAGAGTGAGGAGTTATTTTTTGATTCCGACGCGTCTCTCTTGGACCAGCAAGATTTCGAGATGTCTAGTTGCTCTTTCAGTGACGTCTTCAACTCCAAAGACTCCCACATGGAGCAGATCAACACTTTTTTGAAAAACGTGCAAGTCCTGCTGGAGGCTGCTAGGTTTCTTGACAGCGCCGAGCGCAAGGACGGAAGTGAGTTTTGTTTGTGCTGCGTTTTCATCCTGTATGTTCATCCAAATTGCAGGGAGGGGGAAAAAAAAGGCAACATCAAAACAACACATTAAGACTTCCTTGTCAAGAGTCTCAGACAACAAAGGGTCTGAGTTCATTCAGTAAGCACCAGTGCCTGCAATCAGTACAGAGGGCGCACCAGACAAACAAGAAAACTGCTATTATAGGAGAGGATGCAAGCTTTTAATAAACTGTGGTCTATTTCTTATCAGCGTTTTCTTCTGGAAATGGCTTTTTGTGTTGCCCAACACTCAAATGCAGCAAACTGCAGCAAGTTAAGCATTTATATAGTTTAGTGCACAAGAGGAAATGTTGGCTCTGCACTGTTATAATAAAATCTGATCACATTGCGGCGTCCTCCTCCACTGTGGGATGATGTCATTGTGATCCAGAAAAAAAAAATCCGAAAACTTAGTAAATAAAACAATGCAGCTTAATTAAATACTGAATTATATGTATATGAAAGCATAGTCTTTAGTCTATTATGCTTATGAACATAATGCAGTTGACTGTTAAAGATGACACATGAAAACTTTTCGATATAAAACCCTTCTTCCTTGTAGCCCATAACTATCCCATGCATTTATGCTGCTGCCTGGATATTTTTGCTGTTACGTAAGTATTCATCGCGTGGTCAGATGCGCGGGCCACTCGTGTGTGAATTTGTCGTTTTTGTCGCGTTTCGTATCAATTTTCATCAGCTCTCTCGGTTGTTTGCTTCCTGCTACTTGGGGGGCGTGTCGGACTGGTTTCCACATGGCGCAAGCCTCCTCTGCGATTGGTCAGATCACAGCTCAACCCACAACGTCTGTCAAAGCAACCCTCCAATCAGACGCCTGCTCCTTTTCTACGTCACGTGTTGCTGGGCCTGTCTTCAGCCACAATGTAGTCGCCCACTGACCCTGGCATGCGTGGGATTTGTAGTTTCGTTTTTGTCATTTTTACATTCTTTTTGTGCTTACAGTCAGATAGTTTAAAACTTTCTTATAGACATTGACAATTTAAGCCACTGTTTGAATGCAATGTATTTTTTGTCATTACAATAAAACGGCAAAATATCCACAAGATTTATCTGCACACAAACCAAATTTATGTGGTGACATGACAGAAAAGCACACTGAAATGTTGANGTGAGTATCAGTCACATGGAGGCAGGGCTTAAAAGCCTGAATTTTGCCTGAAACTCTCAGACTGAAGAAGTCTCTTGGAGAAGAGACGAAACGGTGCAACTTTTGAAGCATACTGATATTTATTTTTAGTTTTTTTTATTTGTCCTCTGGTATGACAATAACCCAATTTATTAGAAAAAAATGCCACACTACCTAAAATAGATGATGTGTAAGTAGGTACACTTTCCTAGAGTAAAACCTCAAGTACTACTTTTTGAGGTTCTTAAAGATTATCTGCATAATAAATCCGTTGTACAAGATGTTTTATGAGTAATAAACACAGGATAATTTGTGAAAATCATAAAATGTGATGCCAAGCAGGCTGTGTTGAGCGACTGCAGAAAATACTCGGTTTCCCAGAAGGCATCACGTTCAAACCGGCTCCTCTTCCTGCTTGGCCCCGCCCCCCAGCTGAGCAGCTAGGTAAACAAACAGCAGAGCAGAGAAAATCGACAGAAGCAGGTTCTTTGCTGGCTCTCAGCTTCCAAGGGAATTTTTGATTTTTTGTATTATTTATATTCGATTTTATACAATATATTCTATTTATTCATAAAAACTACTTTGATACACCTATTCTAGCATTATATTTTTTTACAACGAAGACTTAAAGGATAGCTTGCTAGCTTGCAAACACCACTTTGTTTTTTTTCCTTTACCTCCCTTTTCTTTTCGACAAATGCTGAGCTGGTAAAGGCGCCGAACAGGACAATACATAATCGTTTTTCGTTTGTTTTGAACCGTCTTCCCTGCGTTTTAAAAGCGACGTCGTCCTTCGTGCTGTTTTACGAAGCTAGCGTTTAACGCTGAATATAAGGTGAACGAACGGCAGCCAGCCTCAGGGAAGAATGACTGCGGTTCAGCTAATGAACATCCAGCGGTTACTGGAGGCAGCGGAATATCTAGAAAGAAGAGACAGAGGTAAATACGTGTGCAAACATTTGTGAGTTTACGCTTTGATTAACACAGTAAAAGGGGCCAAATGAGGGAAGTGTTAGGAAACTTGGTTCACCATTTCATTTGTACAGAATTTAGGCACATCTCAACCTATTGTGTAAAAATGTCCGAATTTGCTTAATGTGTATATTTTTATTTCCCACAATATATAGAGTGCGAACACGGATATGCTTCCACTTTCCCGTCAAATCAGAGCACAAACTACCAGAGGCAGAAGAAATTCCGGAACAAGAAGTTCAGCAGTAACCACAACAGGTAAGAGACATGCTCGTCCTCGTAACGTGTTCATATGAAAACAGCATGTTTAATACGGCTGGATAAATAGATTGGATGCTAATTATAGGTGTCGCTTGTTAAAGCGCCTTTTAACACCTCAGTTTGTGGGACGGTGAGTGTACCACAGACAGCATGTGATCTCTGCCAACGTGTTGGGTAAGCACGTGATCTGTTACTGGGAACATTTACACTTCTCAAAAAATTGATTCATCACATGCAGATGAGTTTGACTTGCTTCATTTTCATTTTCCTTTATTCGTACAGGTTAGTCTAGTTGACACAACCGTCTCGTTTGCAAGAGAGACCTGTTAAGACTTGATAGAATCAATGAAACACATTATTACAAAATAAACATATCAATAAAAACACATCAAAATAAATTCAAAAGCTACCCTAACTTCAAAAGTAGCCAAAAAAACAGTACAATAAATAAATAAATAAATAAATAAATAAATAAACAGGCACAAGTGTTTTGTTGATGTGATCTCCAGTTCTTTCTTTAAACGTTTGCATGTCTCGATGGTAACAAGTATGA